AGTTTACCCTCTTAATAGCTGAGAGTCTAAATCCAGCAAATGCATAGGATATTATTAAAAATGATCTCATTGATTTTCTAGACCATTAACAAATGCTGGACCGCATACAAACTATCATGAGTTCTGATCCCAACAGATGTCCTTTCTAAACACCTGTTGGAGTGAACTCTGCCATTGGCCCTTTAAATGGGAAGGAGTTTTAATTTTCCAAAAGTAGTGATGCAGTTGGCATGCTAGAAATGCACATTTGCTGCCTGTGTTCCATTCTAGTAAACAATCTCCTGAATTACTATGTTGATCTCTTGATTGTATATCGAGAGATGTCTACAAATACCATTAAGATCGACCAGTAGTCTTGTTTATAAGGCTATGTTAGAGGGAGTTGATTTCACATAATTAGCCAATAATGAAAAACAAAGCTTTTTTACCTTCTCATGATCTATCAAGAACTGACTTACTAAAAACTAGAACCGTAGTTGTAAACTGAAGAATGTTGAAAGCTCACCTAGAAAGCTGTTTCACATTTCTCCCAAGTGGAGAGTCTAAATTTGTGCTTAGTTATAATGGAATCGGTAGGAATGTTCTGCAGCTTCACTCCAGACATGCCGGTGGATGGTTCTATCCAAAAACTGGCATAAACAAGCTGTGTCAGTATCTTTATCTCCAGCGATTTCATCGTGTCTATCTATGGTGCAGTACTGAATCAGGTACCGCCTCGCTGAAGGTCATGGGTTACACATAGCTATTCAAATACTTTATTTTGGGGACAGCTGGATCACTCCCTGACCTGACTTTCATGAGTGGGAGGATCATCTTCATCGTTTTGCCTTCCTGCCCTTTCTAAAAATAGTAGGGCCTTTAACAAGGAGCTATTTTAAGCAGCTCATATTCACTTGTCTCATCGGGAGATGCTTATTTTGCATCTGACACACTCACATGTGTCCAATTTGCATGTGTGCATCCTTAGACCTTGGGAGGCCCGTCCATGCTTTTCCCATCACTCATATAAGAAGCTTGCACACATAAAGACGCTGGGATTACCAGCTGAGAGTCAGTGGGTAAACATAAACGAAGGGAAGACACTTTTTAGGAATGCGGATATGCTGCTGAGACCATCCATTGCAGGCCTTTGCACATCAGCCCTCAGCTTTTCGGACCTGTTTTCGTAAGACCTGGCTGGGATTTCACTTCAGAGACCTCAATGATCTTGCTGCTTTTAGCAGATATTTATAGGAGCCACTGCCAGCCACTGTGGATAAGGGAAACTAATGAGAAACTGCCTTCCAAAATCTGAACAGCAAAACCAAAACCAAGCAAATCCAAAAAATCCAAAACAGAACCACAAAAGAACAACTCAGACAATCCGTGCTCACAAGAAGACGCGGAGAAAAAGACCAAGATGTAACTGTGCTTTGATAACTGGATTTATCAGTCACAGGACGGGCATGCAGTGGGTACTTTGTATTTTTCTCCTTTGAAAATAAAACAAACACAAGTGCAAATCTATGTTTTGCTGCACCAGTGGGACCAAAAGAGTATGAGTGTGAGAAAACACAGACTCTAAAAGCAAGATGGAATGTAAGCAGGTAAACCCTGTTCCGCAGTCTTGTCATTCCACTACAGTTGTGCGTGGTACTCGTGTTTGCACCTCTAAGAAATTTCCATTTTTTCGCATCAAAAAATCCAGATACGAAGCCGAGGCTGCTTTCTTCGCCAACCTGAAGCTGTCTGATTTCAACATCATCGACACCCTTGGCGTTGGAGGTTTCGGACGAGTGGAACTGGTAGGTCACTGTTCTGTGAATGCCTTTGAAAGCCTGTCTCTTCCTTCTCTACTTCTTCTCCGTAATAAGATGTCTCTCTTTTCCTCTCTCATCTTTAATTGCTATGGTTCCTAACTTGGTACCAAAGAATTTTATATCAACACATGGGGAGTTTGCAAAGTGGGCTACATTAGGTAGCCAATACACTAAAAACACAATGAATACAAATTTACTTTTTAAAAAACCACCTTAGAGGAAGTGAAATGTAAAGACATTTACATCATGAGGAGTCACAAAATGCTTCTTGCCCAGCTGATATTCTATGATCTTTATTTGCTTCCACAGTTCTGAGCAGTGCTTACTATTTTAATTATGTGCTCTATCCATAATCACAATAATTAAAATGTAAGTTTAAGTATATATAAAGAGAAATTATATATATATATTTAGTAATCCTTACCACTGCTTTAAAAAAAAGTCAAGTAAATGCTGTTAAAGTAGTAATTCTGTGATTCTGGAGTTTCAAGCACCTATACATATCTAACCTTATTTGGTAATATGGTTTGAATATTTTATACAATTTACTTCACACACATATACAGCTAAGTTTTCATGAAGGTGATGAAGACATTTGGGTACAAGTTTAAACATTAAACACATTGCATGCATGTGATATAAAGCAAATGAAATCATGCGCTATCATGCTTTTGTTTGAAATATAAGTTTAAAAAGTGACATTGCAACAAAAATTTTTAAAAATGCATTCTGGTTACTGTATTGCTGCATTTCAACCCTGTGGGAAAGAAGCCTCTCTGAGCACAGAGATTAAGTTCCACCTCTCTGCTGACATGGAGGAGTCCCTGATATCAGACGCCAGTACAGTATGTTAGGAACTCCCTGCGACTGTGTAGTAAACAGTTACTGTTGCCACCAGGGGACCGGAGAAACCCCCTTCCATGACAGTATATTCGATCCAGCGCTATGTTTGCTATTTGTCCAGTTGAGCTACAATTGGGACTTCTGACTCTGACAGGCAGTAAGATGTTATTTACTTAAAGATTAGACACGAAGGTTTTTGAGCCACAGTGTGTTTCACTAAATTTGTATTATGTCTCCCTTAACACGGAGGTATTTTAGTAATACTACATCTGACTTCTGCCTTCTGAGGGTGCCTCTGAGGATCTAAGCATTTTTAGTTCGAGGAGTAAAAATCAAGTTAGGGCCCAGCAAAACCGCTTGCTTTTCTGAATCTGGCCAGTTCATGCAGTCCTGGATTTATTTGTAAAGAACCTTTAGTTCTATTCATCTAGCTAGTGAAGAATTACTAACAGTGTTACACATAAATAGCTTTGCACGTGGGAGGGAGGGACATTGAACACGACAGAGGGAGGAAAGAGCCCCTTGCCATGATGCGTGTAGTGTCTGGGGAGTTTATTGACCTACTTGTATGTGTCTAACCCCCTCTCTGAATGAAGCAGTATATAAAGGACAGAATTTCCAAGAGACCGAGTTTGTGACTGTTATATTTTCTTAAATATTTTTTAAACACTATGGAAAATAAAATTGCTGTTTTAGTTGGTACCAAACAAACAAACAAAAAAACCACAACATTGCAACTTTGTGGAGTCCTAGAGGGTTGTGAACCTTCAAGTTACCAGTGAGATATTTTATGAAATGCAATGTAGGAATTTTTTGCAATATTGAAAGGTACTCATAGACACTGAGACCACTTCAAGCTGGACAATTAAATGCCAAGCAGATAATGTAAAACCTCCGGAAAATTCACTTAAAAATATCTGAGGTGGCACAAACAACGAATGACATAATTAGGGAAGGTTCAATGTGGACATTCAAAAAAATAATGCAATTTAAAAAGAATAAGTGTGTATGTGTGTGTGTTTTGTGGTTGTGTGTGTCTGAGTACCTATATAATTATGCATCATCTCCATCAAGGAGAGATAGTCAACAGTAGTTCACCCTAATTTTCTTCTCAAGGGTATTATATTTAACTGTTACACGGATGTTTATAGACTAATGAAGGCCATAACCTCAGGAATTAGTGTGCGCAAAACTTTAGATACAATGAAAAAATCCATACATAATGGGTCATTAGGGCAAGAGGCACATGTCCTTAACCTCTGAAGTGATGTCATCTTATGTAATCTTGCATTTCCCAAAACTCACCATGGGATAATCATAATACACAGATTTTCTTCACTGTTCTATGTGGATTAGCCCTTTAACTGACGATTACTCTAGAATCCAGTGCTCCCGGTTTTTGCCACTTACTTACTAACTGCCAGATACCTTCATCTCATTTTGCATAATGACATAGCCTTCAGAGACTTCTTAGCATTCTTATCATTGATGTCAGCTTAAATGAACTTCGATGCAGGAGTATTGCTACATGATTTATTGCCAATTTCTAGAGATGGGAACATAATTCTGGTACCAACTTAAGTATTTGTTCAATTTGTTAAGAAGCTTAAAGTAAACGTCTCTGCCCATGGGAATTCTGCTCTTAAACTATTCAGGCTATTTCATAAATACGTTTAGAATAACCTATTGTAACTACTTTAATATCAGACACGTCCTGTTCACAGTGCCTTTTAAGTCATCTGTACTGCTTTCTTTCCTGTTTTTTGGCATATCCCATATTTTCTGCCCATGTTTTTTATTTTGAAGAATGGACTTAATTCATTCAGTGCTACCTGTTTATAATCTATCTTTCAGAAAGCCACATTTTATTTATAATAATATTTTTAGGAAAAGAATTCAGTTCTCTTTTTATATATGATTTACTAATTAGAGACATCTAGGCAAGACTCTTAATTTCTAAGGTGTGACCGTAAAATACGAAGCTTGACTGGACAACTCACAAGGAGACATCAGCTCCGTTGCTCTATGGTCACATTCCTCATTTACTCTACTTTTGCTCTTGTTAGAGAGGAGCTTCTTTTCAAATAGATTTTCACGCCTCAAACTTTTTCATCTGGCAATGTTATGTGCTGATTTCATTAAATATCAGATACTAAATCTATTTATCCAGCAACCCACTACCTCCTATACCAGAACAACATACTTGGACAAAATATAGGAACAAAGATATGGAAGATATAATTACTGTCTTCTTGGATTATATCCCTTCTCCATCACTTTTATATGCTTATGTAGTGAGCTCTCTGCTGCAATCTATAAAATTTAATCTGAAATAGCATTACCTCTATGGACTCGCCATCTACTGGAAGGGACACTTATGTAAACTAACAAGTAAACTCATGATCAGAGTCTGAGAAGCACATGCCCAGGCCACCAGGGAACAATGTTTCTTCAAAGAGGTGGCATTTCTATGATAGAGGCAGTGTTGAGTCATTGACATTAAAAAAAGAAACATTATGATACACTCTTATAAAATGAAACTACTACAAACCACTACAGGATAATTTATTAAGAAACTGATACTAACAATCTTTATTAATAAGTTGGTATTACTTCCTAACTAAAATAAGCCTTTCATTTGAACCCTGCTTTATAATCTTCAAATTGTTTTCATACCCAGTATATGATTTTGCCTTGATAGCTATCTTGGGAGGAAAACATGGGGCAAGATCTACATTTTACAGGAAAAAAAATCAAGAATAAAACATATAAGTGACCTAAGAACATGCAGTCATTGAAAGATCTGTTGTGATTGCCCAGAACTATTAATTAGA